CTACCCTAAATGTAAACCCCTAAAATTTCTAACCCAAAAGTTTAAGAATCAGTTTGTCTGCTCATGTTGCAATCTTCTAGGAACAATTTTTAAACGTCATCGCCTCTGCATGTATTGCGTGCCGTTTATTAAATTTCTTGGCTAAAATGGTGGGCGCCCCCTTGGAACTCCGATCACCGGTGGTACTGGACAGCGGTTTACACCATGGAAAAAAATGGCGGCTGGATCGCCTACACGACAAATGTTTACGTTTTATGCAGCCATCAGAGATGAAGAAGTGTCGCTCTCCATGGAATCCCACACACGCTTATGAGTACAGAAACTAACTGGCTATACATCTGGAGATGACACTTTGGTTTAAATGAATTTACAAGCTCGGAATGTGTCGAAATCGGCCGCCTCAGCCTGCATAGCATAAACAGTGAATTGAATTTATTGCGTAGTGCTGGACGAATTACATTATTACGTCAACTGGGATTGAAATATTTTGCAAATTGTCATGCCTATAAGTACCACAGAGAGTAGAAAACTGATTATTTTGGCTCTACCCTTGGAAATTGTGTCATACATTTTCAGATTTCTTCCAGCGTCGGACCTGAAGTGTGCATCACTTGTGTGTTATCAGTGGTCGAAAGCATCACAAGATCCGATCTTGTGGAGAAATGTGTCTGTTAGCCTGGGAACAAGAAGAGAAAGATTCTCCCATTTGTTGGTCGATAGTCTTGAGAGACGCTGTATCCAGTATTTGAGATTCAAACACATGTCAACGGCCGCTCAAATTCTTCAAGTGTGCAAGCAACTTGGATCAAATCTGAAAGCTCTGTCGCTTCAAGGCTGTCGATGTGTTAATAACGCGTTACTTGAAGTACTGAGCACCTATTGTCCTAATTTGCTACGTTTGGATTTAAGCCGTTGCAGACAGCTTGAAGTGGCAAAGAATGCTGCCTGGCTTGACAACTGTGCAAATGCCTGGAAGCACCTAACTGTCATGGATTTAAATGCTTGTAAAGACGTATCAGATGTCTTGGTATCAAAAATCGCAGATATGTTGCCCTTTATAGTGCATCTCAGTATTTCTGGCTGCAAGGGCATCAGCATTTCCACATGGGAGAAGATGGCGAAGAAGTTGCCATCTTTAAAATACCTTGACATAAGTCGATCTGACATGACAGATGAAATGATGCTAAAATTCTCTCAGATACCAGAATTAAAACTTCAAGGAATTAATTTAACAGCTTGCAAGCATCTAACAGATAATGGGGTAGTGGCACTCATCAAATGCCAGAACTGGCTGGAAGTCCTTAAACTGGCGTGTGTCGAGGTTACGAATACAACACTGATCTGCATTGGTAAACATATGCAACGTTTAAGAGTACTAGACTTGAACAGCTGTAGACAACTAACAGATGGAGCATTATCAAGTGTGAAGGCCCTATTAATCAACTTGCACTCATTAAATTTGTATTCCTGTTACCAGCTATCAAACACTGGTCTTGCTCAGTTCTTATGCTGGACACAGGTAATGTGGAGTTGCAGAAAATAGCCATAAAACCACAAGGAAGATCACTGGAAATCCCAAGAGTGATGGGAGTCTCAAATCCAAACTTTTTAAAGGAAAGTAAAAAGTCCACAGAGGTAGAGCTGAGTCAGAGGGCACAATCCAAGAAAACTGCCATGGGAGGGGGTTTTGATATAATTTTTCTGGATTATACAACAATGGGGACTTTATTTCACAGTCAAAGGGTCCATTCCAAATATGTTCTTCCAGAAAATTATCCACCCCCTTCCACAGTACTTTTTTTGTTTGAAGCCCCCATCACTCTGGGTCGGGTTGCTCAAAGGCTGATTAAACTAACCCAGGATTAGCAAGAATTTTGATGTCAGTTTTGCTCCTCTTTGGGGAGTTTGTCGGCTTATATTGTTTGTCCTTATGCTTTGAGTTGGAATAATCTCAAACTACATTTTAAAAATACACAGTGAAAGACATACTAACTCAAAGAAAACAAACCACATATACCAGTTGCTGAAAGCAAAAATTACTGAAAGAGAAAAAAAAAAAAGACTACAGCATAGACAAATGGTAGCTTTTGGTACAGATATATTCCTGGCAGTACTTCCTTAACCAATGTAGGTAAAAGATGGGGACCACCATTTTGTTTCAATTTATAACACCTGGCAAGTACATGTATAGCAAAAGTTAAGGTCTCTGTTTTATTTTTCCTGTCCTGTCTTGTTGTTTTACAGGGGAAAAATCACAACATTCCTTTAAAAACCCTTGTGCTAAATGGCTGCAGTTCTTTGTCTGATGAACTAGTATCACAGATTTCCAGAGTCCTATTCAACCTTCAAGAACTTGACCTCAGCTCTTGCCTTCATGTAACTGACATTGGATTGTCTGCCATTACTGGCTCGCTTGTTAACCTGCACTCACTGCGGCTCAGCTGGTGTGTCAACATCACTGACAATGGTTTGATTGGGTTTGTTCAGTCTGAACAAAATCTTGCTCATGTCTGCCACAACAAGGAAAAGTGTTCCCATGCAGAGAAATTCAAGAATGATGTAAACATTAATGTAAATCAGGTACATGTATATACATTTTGTTATTTCCTCAGATGTAAAGATAATGATAATGATTATCTAGTGTCACAGGTCTGCAATACACACATAGCAATAGGTAGTAAAATTACCGTTAGTAGGACTTTGTGTATATTATTGGAGAAACTGGATGTGGATAACTTTAATCTTGTGGCTTTATTGAAGAAAAGCTTTTGGTCTGCAGGCAGCACAACAGATAATTATGCATGGGTGGTGGTAAAGTAATTGCTTGTTTCCATTATCACAACCAATGAGAAAACAAAGTCAAGAGTTTGAAAATTATGTTGTAAAAGATTAATAAATAACCAGCTTCTCCAAGTCTCAGGTCTTTGTGATATTTTGTACTCAAGGTGTACCCATCATTTTGTATTTTTCTTATCTTACTCTAACAAAATTCTTTTTTTCCTTCAGGTTCCTAAAGGAATAAAAAACTTGGAAAAGCTGAAAATTTTAGACGTTAGTCACTGCACATGTATCACAGATGAGGGACTTAAGAAGATTTGTCAGCTGAGGAACTTAACATCACTGAACATCAACATGTGCACACAGGTTTGTTTTTTTT